CCGGTCGGAGTTGGGCGCCAGTTAAATAATAAAAGTTTTGTGATTATTTTATTTTTATTTATTCAGTAGTGAGCAGCGATGGCTGGCTCCTATTTGTTAACTTTGTCAAATTACTACTAAAGTATTATTTTACTTTTAATAGTGAGCAGCGATGGCTGGCTCTTGCCTAGATGACTTGCGATCGCAGAGTAATTGTTAGTTTTTCGTTTTCATAATGTGTTGCCCACCAAACTGCAACATCAGTATTTTGCATCAAACTGCAAGCTCAGCGTCTGGTAATGGAGTTGGCATTTTTGTTCTTATTAAACCTCGATGTGTTAACTTACATATAAAATTTTGTTTGAATATATAACAATATTATAAGAGCACGTTTGGTGTTCTCATTATAAGTTTAGTTTTTCAATTTGATAATTATTATTATTTGTTATTGAAGATTATTTGTTATTGAAGATTATTATTGAAGATTATTTGTGATTTGTCTGTCTTTCTACTAGCGTAAGTGACTTAAAATTCTCACTACGTACGATGGCAATATTAAACCGGCTTTTACAAATTGTTAACACTTCGGTCTTCTGTGAAAACTAACGTTTTATCTTAACGCCCGTTAAATGAATTAATTCCCCTATGAAGAGAATTTAACTTTCATTTGTTGCTAAATTTAGTTCTTTACATGCTTTCCTTAATTGAGATATTGCTATATCACGTTCGCAAATGCCTAACGCTGCTCCACCGCTTATATCACGCCTACAGGACATCACTACAAGTACAATAGATATATCGATTTTGCAAGTTCAGTCGTCTGCTTCTTTTTGCTGTTTTTGGTTTTCACTTTGTTTCGTCTTCAATTGAACCGCTTTTCCTTCCCGGTAGACGAGTGAATCAAAAACACTTGAAGGGAGTTCAACTAAATAGTTGTTTGTATTTAAATATGTTTTAGTAAATATATGATCATTGGCGACATAGCGACATTATAATTCCAGAGAAAGAGCCCGTCCAATAATTGTATTATATCGTCTATTTGAAATTCGTAAGACGTTACCTTACATCTACTTGATATATATCATTCAGTTCATACTTAGCATCTAAAAAGTGATTAAGGAACAAAATATGCAGATATGTCTTACATTATTATTCCCCTTGATATAGTAAGAATCTTTTGATATGTAGACACTACATTTATTACGACATTATGAATATTAATATAATTGATTTATTTGTAAGGACTACTTTCATTTGTAAAAATAGAATTATTGTAACTTGAGAAGTAATTAAAAAACAAATATAGTCGAACGAACTTGTTGCATTGTAAATTATACAAATATTAATACATTAGTTAATACATTAACTGAGTTTTTGTATCCAGTTAAATAGAATTCCTTGGGAGTGATTTGGGGCTCTACTGGAGAGGGCCTTAATATAAATGAAAACATAAAACTATATTACCTAAAATACTGGCATATGAATTGAATATGTACTACGAAATAATCCAAATTTAACATTTTTGACTCAATCAAATGTAAATTTATTGACAAATCGCTTATATTTACGGTAATGATAGTTATTGTGTATCATTCCATAGCATATTGGTGTATTGCACTGTTTTACCTTACTATTCCACTGAATTTTACTAAGCTTGAATTTGAATCCATTTGTATTAGAAGAACAATTTTTACGCCAAGTATTTAAAGTTACCAATCCGATCAGTGAAGAATATTGTCCAACTTGATTTACCATATCGATTTTTTATAGATCGAAACGAAACTTTTTTTATTTCCTATACAGAAAATTGCCGTATTAACGACAATTGACTACCAAATAAAATAGGTAAAATATCGTTCAACACTTAGTAGGACGCAGAATTTATTTGCATGAGAAATAAGAGTTAAGGGCAAAATCAATTATGAACAATTGTTATTCCAGTTATTAGCATTCAAATAATAATAAATACTGTATGAGCTAATAATTTTTTTACATAAATTTTACATTTTCTGTGTAAAGAAAAGTTGTTTATACGCTAGAAAACATTTGTGACCCTAAATAAAATTGTAATTTCATATAATATCAAATCACGTTTCTGAAAATTACCTGCTAAGTGCGTTAGATACTCGATGTACATTTTCTGTATAAAGAAAAGTTGTTTATTCGCTAGAAAAGATTTGTGACCCAAAATAAAATTGTAATTTCATACAATATCAAATCACGTTTCTGAAAATTAACTGTCAAGTGCGTTAGATACTCGATGTAAGAATTACAAAATGTATTAGTATTAAGTATTATGGGTCTTTATTAAATATATAATTCCCCTTTATTAAATATTGTATAATATATGCAAACGCTGAATACCACAAATGTGCCGTTAATATTACATAATCAGTTTTTTCAGATATTAAGTTCTTAATATATCTTCATGACCAGTTATGTTAATATTTGCAATAGCTGCTTAGTCAGGAGCATTCATTGGCACTTTCTGCAAGTTTTCATAAGTTGCGTCGTTAATTTGAATGACGTTGTCGCAAGGAATTTAAAACGCCCCTTTAAAAGTTTTTGTGTCGTCTGGCGTTGATGTCCTGACAGTGTTCTCATTTATAAGAATAATACCATCATCGATTACGACTACAGTTTCCAGATGACTGGGTCGGGCAATGAGCCAGGCTACCAGTCAATTTACTAGGCACATTTTGAATGGGGTAGCTCTCTACTACAATTGTCTATGGCAAGTATGTGGTTTCCACAGTCGGTAACGGAGTTTTCGATAAAGTGCAGTTCTTTCCTAATATTATTATAGTATTTTTCTACATGAAAACTAGCAGTGAAACTTAATGCAAAAAGTGGAAGTTACAATAGGTGTGTAGTACGAGTTTGAGTAGTCCACTAATATTGCCATTGTCTGAAATATGAGTACGGGAAATTTATTTTCTATTTTAGGTTGTTCTTATGGACCACTCTCCCCTTATTAAGAACCGTAGTTTCCAAATCGGATTCTGCTTTCTCTTGCCTTTTGTTGTTCTTCACCAACACAGTCTCTTCCACGTTCTTTATCGCCTGAAATGTTGTTTCTTTCTAATAAAGTGCCCAGTTGCCCAACTTGTCCGTTCGATGTGCTATGCAGAAGTGGCTAGTTTTATTTTACGCATATTTCCAGATTAAACTTGTCGGTTGACGACGTGTATAGTGTGTGTGTAGTCCGTTATTGTCCTATCAGTACCTTATTCTATCCTATCAGTACCTAATTCTATTGGAACAACTGCATGGGTTGGAGGAATATCTGTCAAAGAAATATCAAATGTCACATTGTCGGATTGTACCAGTACGAATCTAAAAGGGAAGAATCTCTAAGTTATATGTTATATTTATTTTATATTTATGTAGCTTTTGACCGTTCCTCGTCAATAGATTAACTTTATTGTTCTTGTTGACCTCAGGCGTGTCTCTGTCCTGGTTCAGTTTGTCAAAGCGTTTATTCATGTCACGTATCAGTTTATTTTTTTATAATTTCGTGTAGTCCAACTGAAAGTTGATGTAAGTACTCATTCATTGTAATTCAAATTCTCTTCCAATGTTCTGCCATAGAATTTAGAACCAAAAGGCGTGGCAAAGTGTATCGAATTATTGTAAGTCATGATTACTTCAGAAGGTATTTCATAGCTCGGAAGCATTATATTTCTGGTGAATTATTCCGTATGTCTCCGTTATCGTAGAGAGCAGCCTTTCAACTAGATAATTGCCAGAGTTCTGTTGAAATTAAGTATAATGGATATGAATATGATTCATTTTAAGCTTTTATAATTCTTAATGATTTTCAAATTGATATACTGTTACCAGATTCTTATGAGTATGCCGATCCGTATTTCGAAAATTTGTCAATAACGGTGAGGATTGTTTTGTTCTTACATATATATGAACGACGTCCAATGGTTTCAATGGTATTTCTGGCTTTTTAAAGATATATTTCGGGGGTCCTCTATAATTTTAAAGTGTTTGGCATATCGTTCAGAAATTAGTTCATTTAGAAGTTTTAGCTTTCATATACGGACAAAAATATTGACGTTTCAGATGTTCGTTAGTCTGTGGTATACCTCTTTGGTTGTGGTTAACACAATACTTATTGATTTATTTTTATTTTGTACGTCCGTGTCTATGGTATCCTGTAATATATCCTTGCAGCGTATGATTTTTATAGTTTGCTGTTGGCAAAATATTTAGAGTATGTACTCTGAATTATGCTGAACGTGTCATTATCCGACATTATTGTAGAGTTTGTTAGCGTTAAGTATTGCTTAAAAATTACAGTCATTATAGATTAAGTAAACCCTGATCTGCGTCCTGCGCATCTTGTTCTTAAGTACAATCTCTAGCGTCATTGGTAATTCGCCATCCCGTACATGTGGGTCGTTCCGAAATTGGGTCGCTCATCAGTATTTGCGTCTGTAGAGCGAATTGTCGTACTTGTTGTGCCTTAATTCATGCAATTATCTATTGAATTCATCATTATTTTATTTCCCTGTTGTCATTATTAAAATCATCTATTTTTATGCGACTTTAAGCATTTGATTCAGTTTTCGATTTTTATAAATTTTTTCATAATCAAATTCTTTGAGTTTGGGCCTCCAGTTCCGAATCAGGCCCTTTAGGCTCATGATTCAGGTAGTTCCTTTTTTTATTGTTGAATTATTTATCTCAATGTCGGTTAGAATACGAATGACATAACATATTGGTCTATCACTGTCCAACGGACCGTGAGAAACGGTCACGGTAATATTATTACTTCTTGGCTTATTGTAATTTTACTGTTGTTTATGCATTTGCAAATTAACGTTTTCTGTACCGAGTAAGTTAAAAAAACAAATATTTTTTATTTTTTTCTCTTTATTTATTAATTATTTATTAACAAATTTACTCTTAAATTAACTTTTATAACTATAATATTTTAAGTATCCGCAGGCTGATATTTTAAACTGTAAACTGATTTTTAAAAATGAATAATTGAACAAGGCAAATCGATGGACTCTTATTACTTTTTTTAAATTCTTTCAATTGTTTTTAGTCCTTTTTACATATTCTTTCTTCTTACTTATATATATTTTAATGTATTTTCTTATAAGTATAAAATATATCCTTGCAGCGTATGATATAAAAAATAAAATACAAAATTTATTACTTTAAGTGCCTTTATTAATTATAGTTTTTAGATAAGAGGAAATTAACACGAATCGTTTTACTCCCAAACTCCAACTGATTTCTCGCCTTCATAGTTCTTGACTCCAAACCTCACGTTGTTGGCAGCGACGTCCAAATTATGCTTATTTCCCACAGGTGCATTATGCTGACGGTAGGCCTAGTGCACGAGTTCGATGACTGTGGGAACATATCATATTTCCGTTTCGCAAGCGAATCGAAAGTGCTGACTTAGCGGCACGTGTAGGTATGATACGTCGCAGCACAGTGGTTTGGAGGTATTGAGGTGTGTTAACTCTTCCCCCTCTAAAAATCTGCGTCCCGCAGATCAGGATGTAAGGAGGCGTTTTGTTGTATTATTGGCAGGTTCAGTTCGGGTAGGTTTTTCTTCGTTGTTAACTTTCTCCAAGTTATCCAAATAAGCACCATTAGTACGAATAGACCCAATGATCCTGACATCATGAACCACGTAGTTTTCTCCTTTAAATAGGCCAAAAGTTGTATATTTGTCGAAGCCATTTCATGTACGAGATTCAGGTTAACGGATAGGCTCTTATTTGTGATAGTGGTCAGTACTGGTGGGATAACTTGTACTCCAGAACTGGTTTGTAGAAGAAAGGATCCATCGAGATGATGGGAAGTTCCGTTGGACCAAATGCTACTGTTAAAGTTATCCAAGAATATTGTGTCATCTTTAAGTAATTCGACTTTTTATTCAGAACTGGTTACATAGCGGCAAGCTGTTTTGCCACCCTTCAAAAGTTTTGTAATGCAATCTTCCTCTGGCAGCTGATCAAGCATTTCCTTTTTACAGATCATAGCGTTGGTTAAACGAAGACACTTGTCTTTGACACCATAGGTTTCATCCTTGTTCATCAGTATTGTCCTTTGAGTCACGTCCACTTTCTGACCTTCCTTTAAAACTGCTCGTACAATTAAGTGATTGAATTTGGTTTCCGCTACCTTCGGCATTGATAGTATGTAGAGTAGGTGGGTGCCATTAGTATATATAGAAGGCTCGCTGTATTCAATGGCTTCGATGATGTTACTGTAGGGAAGAACATCTAGTTCACCTATTAATTGGTTTACTTCTTCTTTGTTTAATAGGTTAGTGTTTACAACTTTGGCCTTGGCCATTTGACAAGCTCGAACTAATTCACCCACATCTTCCTTTAGTATCGTCACCTTGTGCTGTATTTCTTGTGAGGACTTAGCTTGAATATTATATCCCAGTATATCATTTGTTGTAGTAATGATTCCATTTATGGTCCGCAAAAGTTCTTGGGTTTTCGTGGAAATTTCGGAGTTTATTTTGTATTGCAAATTATTATTAGAAACTAGTGAAGCTTGGCTTCGCAAAATTTCATTCCAATCTGTTGCATCTGGTGACCCAGCAATCCATTTCCAGGCTGATCCAATCCAGTTGATTGAACGTTTTAGTCTCGCTGTCTCAGGACCCTTCAGCTCATTAAGTTGAATGCGTATTTTTTCAAGCTCGAAGGCAATAATACTTTTTATAATAGTGGTCTCATTCATTTTGTTGTTCTCATCCTTCAGTCGATTTAGTATGTCTTGATAAAGCTGCAAATTTATATTATGGATTAATTTGAACTGTCCGTTCATCACCCAGCCATAGCCATCACGAATTGTTAAAATAGGGGAGTCCAAATTGAATATGACGTATGCTTGTGCGACTGCACAGAGGCAGATCCTAAGAAATAATTATAAACTATTGACTTAAATCTATCAAGTTATTTTTAAAGTAAAGTGTTAATTTTAATAAAGTAATCAAGAAGTCATTAAATAAAGCTTTTAAGATTCAATATTATTGACCGAAAATGTTAACAATTTTACATTCTATAAAATTTTGAAAAAATATTAGAAATCATTAAGTAGTTTTGTAGTATTCAAATTGTTTACTAAAAGATACCTATATAGTTTTCTAAAAATATTATACCATACACGACTATTTTTAAATGCCAATATTTTTAATTTTTACTTTATAAAATTTTGAAAATAATTTTAAATGTAGTTTCCTTAACAAAATTAAAAACAGTTTACCTATATAATTTTCTAAAAACATTATACCATACATGACTATTTTTAATGCCAATATTTTTACATTTTTTGCTTTATAAAATTTTGAAAATAATTTTGAATGTAATTTCCTTAGCAAAATTAAAACAGAGAATAGTAAGTCAAAATTTTACAGCCGAATTTTCACATTTTTTCTTATAATACAAAATTTTGAAAATGATTGGAAGATTCTTTAATATAAAAATGTCTCTATTCTAACGGTTAGTAGCAATTGATTAGTAGTAAGGAATGAGAGGAGTTCGGGAAGACGGAATACGTTTCTTTGGATCAATCGAATAAAAGGGAAGTGGGATATTTTATGTTTTGTTAGTAGTGATTTTTATTAGTTTTGATTTTAGTTTTTATTGTACCCTTATGGTTAATTTTTCGTTTTTTTTATATTGTTGTTTTTTTTTTTTTGGATACCATTGTAGGTATCAGGTTAGGGTTTTTGTACCTCAATTGGTACAATTTTTTTTTCTTTTTTTTTATTTGTAATATTTGTGTCCCTTATCTTGGGTAATTTTGTGATTGTGAACCCTGTTTGGGTTTATATTTTGTGGATAGTATTCATTTTCATTTTCATTCTTATTTTTTTCTTTTATTTGTGACCCTTATTTTGGGTAGTTTTTGTAATTGTGAACCCTGTTTGGGATTATATTTTTGTGGGTATTATTCATTTTCATTAATATTTATACACCAGGAGTGTGTTATTTTTTATATTTGTGACCCTTATTTGGGGTAATTTTGTAAGTAATATTCATTTTCATTCTTAATTTGTTTGTAATATTTATACACCAGGAGGGTGTTAATTAGCGATTATTTTCGGAATGCAGGCGTGAACTCAGATGACATAGGAAGGGTCATGTTAATCCCTTTTAGCTATAGACTTTAGCCATTGCTACAGCCTACTCATGGCATGAACACCTTCACCGTCAATTAAAGCCATAGATTCTTGGTGGAGTTGAACCACTTCGAAGACCATCCCTCGGACCACCGAGAAAACTGGAATTGAACCAGTGTGATGTATCGAATACAAATATTGAACAATTTGCACCCAGACCGCCCGGGACCAGATATCTATGCATGAGCCATCTTACCTCTTGACCAATAATCGCTTTTTGTTATTAAACATTTTTTATGTCAGATTTGTGGAATTTCTTTCCACTCTGTGTAATTACAGTAACGTTTCTATCTTGAGAAACAATTTCTTTTTTGTATATTGGCTTTTCTTTGCTTTTAATTTGTTTGTTTGATATAAGCATTTCGTCACCAATAGTGAAATCATGTGGGGGCGAGCGAGTTTTGTTGTTTCTAGCATTTCTAGTTTCTTGTTCATGTAGTAGTAAGTAGTAGTAATTTGACAACTCTTGATAATTTATTCTGGTAGTTCTATTAAGAAAAATATCAGCAGGTTTTCGCTTCGTAACTGAATGTATAATGTTGTTATACCTATCCACGGTTATGGCGACGCGTTCCTCAGGGGTCAGTCTAGTCTTTACAAAGACAACGATAAATTTCAATCAAAGTGGAATGCAGCCTCTCAACCTGTCCGTTTACCTCACTACGTTGCGTCGGCGTTTGATATATTTCAATACCTAAGGACCGAATGTAGTTTATAACAAGGGGGGTCAAAAATCCACGCTCGTTGTCCATAACTAAAGCACGCGGAACAGTAAAATAATGGAGAGCAATAGTTAACATCATTTTTAGATGTGGAGATGACCTATTTTTAATTGGAAATAATGTTGCTAATTTAGTAAATTTGTCTATACAACTCAGGAATTTCTGTTTTTCTATATCAAAAATATCAATGTGAAGGATTTCGCAGGGATAATTCGGGATTGGAGTGGGTTGCATATGTGGTTTTGAAGGATGTCTATCATACTTGTTAACTTTACACGTTTCACATTGTTTAATGTATTCTCAAATTTGCCTTGACATAGCGGGAAAATAAAATTTCTCAAGAATTTGCTCCTTGTTCTCACGTGCGTTGCGATGGGCACGTTTATGTTCCTGTTCTATGATATTGAAAATTCTATCGGTTAACGTAACATCCTTAACCATTCGTTGTGTTATACGGATCCTGTATCTATAAAAATGATTAGTATATACATCCTGTAATGAGGGAATCAAAGATTCCGGGATTTTAATACCGTTTATTACATTAGGATTTAAAATTCTTTTTAGCACATCAATTAGGGATGCACTATTTATTGTAGGTAATGTTATAAAAAATCTCTTGTAGACTTCATGTGGCACTTCACTACACTCAAAACTCACCCCCTGTCGTATAATTACTTGATTTCTAAATACGTTTATTGGTGACTCCACATGCGGTATTAGGTCTGAATTATCTTGTTCGGCCGAATGCATGGTACCCTCTGACGCAGTGTCTGTTTCGGATGCCGTGTCGGTTGTGGAGGATGCTGGTTGGGCAACGATGGAATCGGTGAGTGCATTCACCTCCGTTCTAAGACGGGAGAGTGCATCAGCGACCACATTCGTTTTTCCCGGTTTGTAAATTAATTCGCAGTTATACTCTTCAGTACGAGCCTTCCATCGCTTGAGCTTTGCGTTGTAGTTGCGATTACTTAATGAATATGTTAAGGGTTGGTGGTCGGTGTAAATTTTTATTTTCTTTGTACCATAGAGGAATGATCGCAAATTATCTAGTGCCCAAACGATGGCCAGGAGCTCTTTCTCATTGGTGGCATAATTTTCCTCTGATTTATTAAGTGACCTCGAGATGTAAGCGATGGGCCTGTCATCACCAATAGACCCTTGTGACAGTACTGCTCCTATGGCGTAGTCTGATGCGTCAGTAGTTAAATTGATTGTTTTTTCGTAATCTGGGAAGGCCAAAACATCGGCAGAAACTAAGAGCTGTTTTAATTCTCTAAATGCTTTAAGAGACTCTTCATCCAATTCTATTTTGACTCTCTTTGAAGCATTAGCACGTATTCTCGCATTTTCACCTCTAGTTAAGTTAGTTAATGGTTTTGCTATCTTGGCGTAATCTCTTATAAATTTTCTATAGTAAGAGGTCATACCAAGGAAACTTTTTAATTCTTTTAAATTTTGTGGAGGCAAAATAATTTTTATTGCTTCCACTTTTTTCAGATTAGCTCTTACCCCACCTGGGGTTATTATATAGCCAAGAAATTCTACTTCCCTTTCTAGGAAGCATTTTTTCTCCAAATTTACCTTTATGTTGGCACCCATGAGGCGGATGAACACCTTTTCCACATTGTCTAAATGTTCATCTAAACTTTTCCCAAAAACAATTATGTCGTCTATATACACATAACATATTTTTCCTATACATTGTTTCAATACGTCATCAATCATTCGTTGAAATATAGCAGGCGCGTTCTTCAGGCCGAATGGTAAACGCAGATATTCATATTTTCCATTCATAGTGGAAAAAGCAGTTTTTGGTATGTCGGACTCTTTCATCGGTATTTGATGAAAACCCGATGTAAGGTCTATTGTTGTGAAGTAATTAGCCTGACCGAGACTACAAAGTGTAGCATTGATATCAGGGATGGGGTACGTGTCAGCGATTGTTATAGTATTCAACCTTTTGTAATCAATTACCATTCGATACTGCTTTTCTCCGTTTGGTTTTAGTTTTTTTTGGAACGATCCAAATTGGGGAGTTGTATGGACTCTTTGATGGGCGTATTATTCTAGCGTCAAGCAGTTCATTTACTTGTCTTTCGACTTCCTCTCTCATACAAGCAGGATAAGGGTAACTTTTACTATAAATAGGTTCGGAGGTTGATGTCTTTATTTCCGCGTGTATGCTGGTATCGATCAATTCATTACCACTAAGTGGTTCAAAAAGTTTTGAGTATTTACCTAATAAAGAGTTAATTCTATCATGGATTCGATGAGGTAAATTCTGCCCTATAGTAAAGAATACATCTGACGAGAAACGTGCTTTTAGGGGAATTTCGTATTTGCCTACTATAAGAAGATCGTTTTTTCTGTCTATTATTGCCCCAACTTTCCTTAAGTTATCATCACCGATTATACCCGAAAAATTACCCAAATTAGGTAATACGAAAAATTCAATTTTTGTTAAGTCCCCTATGCTATTAAATATTTTTAATTCTGATTTGTTCCGAATTGTCACGTTACCGCCGACTGAGGCAACATTAAATACCCTCTTAACAGGAATACACCCTTTGACTACCCCTTCTTTAATGTAATTTTTGTTTGCTCCAGTATCAATTAAGAATTCCAATACCCGACCATCCGCTAAGATATATTCTATATATGGTACGCTTGATGGCCGGATTCCAGAAAATCCTCAGAGTTTTGTTCATTTGGTGATTCCAGGTTACCTTCTTCAACTACATCTTGTTCCTCTTTCTTTTCAGAAAGGGTATGATATAGTCGTTGTAGCTTTCTGGAATAGTTTTCTGATCCATTACTTCGTTTGAATGGATTCGGTCTATTCATATAATTCACGTTTTTTGTTTGTATAGAAGGATCCACCTCCATTTTCTCCACCGGAAGATATGACATAGAATTTTGGTTTCCTTTCTGTAAATAACGATGATCCGCTGAATTTTGTTGACGATGATCTTGAGAACGCCAATGTGGTTTCGGTGGCAATTGTGGAGGCTTATTCTTAGTCTGGTGTGACGTAGTATTCGGCAGACTGTTAATAGGTATTGAGACTCGATTGTTAGAGGAGGGGTTATGAATCGAGGAATTTCGAAAATCAACATTTTGCATCTCCAGGCACGCTGAATAAGCTTCAGGTAAAGTTTTTGGACGCTGTATAAGCAACATCCGGGACATGTCTCCACTGAGACCCCGAATAAAAACATCCAATGCTCTGTTGCGATAAGTCTCTATAAGGACTCTCACTGTCTCTTCCGAGTAAGACTCGGTTTTTATTTTATTTAAGATTAATGAAAATTGATGATTAACTTTAGCGTAAAACTCATCAACCTTCATCCCTCTTTGGTTGAGACGGTGCAACTGGTGCTCCAGGGTACGTATGTCTCTCTTATCTGCAT